TTTGCCATGCTCGCAAAGAATTCAAATGCTTCCTGCCATTGCCCTTGATTTGCACAGGCACTGATTGCTGCATTGTAGCTATTTGTACTTGCTTCAATACTGTTGGTCGACATGACTTGAAACAGCTGCAAGGCATGTTTCCATTGTCCGCCCTTTCCACAGGCGCTCATGAGAGCATTGTAGGTAACCACATTTGGCAATACCTTAGCGTTGCCCACGGCATCAAACACTACCAAGGCTTGCAACCATTTGTGGCCTTTTTCGCAGGCACTGATCGCGGCGCTGTAGCTAAAAACATTTGGTTTGATGTTTACCTGAAGTGCCACCTGACACATCAATGCTCCTTGCCATTGGCTGCCCTTTTCGCAGGCACTAATCGCTGTACTAAAGCTTACCACGCTTCTTTGAAGGTCTGCCTCTGGCATAGATCCATATAACCTCAAGGCTTGCTGCCATTGCCCGCCCTTCACAAAAGCACTGATAGCAGTGTTGTAGCTGACGACATCTCGTTGAACTTTGACAGCAACCATGGCCTCAAACAACACCAATTCTCCTTGCCATAACTCCCGCCCTTGACAGCAGGCACCAATGGCTGCACTGTAGCTGAAAATGGAAACTCGAAGGTCTGCTTCAAGCATGGTCTCAAATAACTTTAGACCATGCTGCCACAAAGTCCGCTTGGTACATGATGAAATCCTGAGATCTTGGGGGCATACGGCTTCAGCCGTACCCTGGCGGTGGAAGGTGGGACTACATGCTGTTGATACCCCCGGAAGCGAAGGAAGAACAGGTCGCTTCAGCAGGAAAAACACGTCCGTTCCTTTCGGTTCTACCGATTTACAAAGATAAAACCATCTGAGTTCCTGGGGACCAGGTGTGCTCAACCTGTGAAAAGGGAAAGTTATATAGAGTGTCCCAGTTTTGTGTCGCAGGTTTCTACATTCAGTATCAAACTCCGAGGCAAGCTGAACCAAAGAAAGTTCAAAAAGGTCGAACACATCTGGTCAACTGGCTTTGACTTGTTAGTCAAATGTTATATTTCTTTGATTCATAGAGCCTTTGGCCATTGCGAAGGGTCATGCTCGTCCATGTGTCTTTTTCCGGGAGAAAACACACATGTCTCATACCCATGCCCATACTTTTGGGCAGAATCCAACACCTGATGTTTTTTTGTTCATCAGAAAGGAACACCAACACGTTAGTGATGTCATTATCATTTTTCTCAAAAAAAACACAAGAACATGAAACAAACAACAACATACAAAACACACTCTGACAATTGTATTCAGTTAACTCAGTTCCCAGGTCAA